CCAATATTCAACTTACCCTTAAATTTACCTTCCTTATTTTTTTCTGAATTTTTGCCTTTCCATCTGGGGTTTTCCTTTGGCCTGAAAAACACCCTTGTAAATTGTTTTAGTGCAGGTCTACTAAGAACAAATTTTCTTAGTTTTTGTTTGTTTGGAAATATAGTTACTTTGTCCTCAGTTATATTAATTTTTTTCTGAATGTAGAATTTTAAGTGAGTAGTTATTATCTTTCAGCTTTTTGATGATGCTATTCCATCATATTCTGGCTTTACTGTTTTTTGTTAATAAGTTACATATACAGTAGTTTTATTTTCACCCTTGAAGGTGATGATTTTCTTTCTTAGATTACATTTAAGATAATCTGGTTGATTTTGGTTTTTTAAACCATTTCGGTATGATGTTCCTTGCTATGCTTTTCTTTGTATTTACCCTTCTTGATTTTCTTGGGAATTGTTGAACTTATGGACTGATGTCTTTTTCAGCTTTGGAGAATCTCCAGCCATTATCTCTTGAAATATTGCTTCTCCCTCTATTCTCTTTCTCCTTTCATGTTAGGACTCAATGTAACATAAGGAAAAGTCATTTCACTATGGCTAGAATGTCCTTTATACTCTTTTCTTAATGCTGAATTCTTTTTATCTCTGTAGATAGAGTAGATTTTTCTATTCTCTTATTTTCAGTTCAGCAGTCTTCTCTTACCATATGTTCAAATAAGCTGTTAAATCCAATTATTAGAGTCTGTATTTTTGCTTATTTTTTATTTTTAAAAATTTTTATTTTTTATTTTTTTGTTTACATTATTACAGATGTCCGCATTTACCCCTTATGCCCACTTCCACCCAGTTCCCACCTCCTCTTCTCTTGACCACCATCACACTGTTGTCTGTGTCCATGAGTTATACATATATCCTCTTTGACTAACCCCTTCATCCAGTCCTCACCCCTCTCTGACAGCTGTCCATCTGTTTCATGTATCTATGCCACTGTTTCGGTTTTGTTTATCCATTTATTTTGTTCATTAAATTCCACATATGAGTAATATTATATGGTATTTGTCTTTCTCTGACCAGCTATGTCACTTAACATAATAATCTCCTGGCACAGGCCCATCCAGGCTGTCGCAAAAGGTAAAAATTCCTTTTTCATGGCAGTGTAGTATTCCACTGTATAAATGTGCCACAGCTTTTTTATCCATGCATCTACTGATGGGCTCTTACACTGTTTTCAGATCTAGGCTATTATAAATGTTACTACTACGAACACAGCGGCACATATGTTTTTTCGAATTGGTATTTTGGGATTCTTAGGGTATATTTCCAGAAGTGGGATTGCTGGGTCAAAGGCATTTCCATTTTTAATATTTTGAGGAAATTCTATACTCTTTTCACAGTTTACATTCAATGTTATTTTGTAGTATTATCGGATGTACCACATAGTGCTTAGTCAATCATATAATTTATATAGTGTTTCCCCTGATATTTCCAGTACCCACCTGGGACCATACATAGTTATTGCAATATTAATGACTGTATTTCCTATGTTGTACTATGCTTACTTGGGCCTATGGTGTAACGACCAATTAGTACTTTTTCATCCCATCACCTTTTTTCATCCCTCCCCCCAACACCCCTCTCTTCTGGCAGCCATCGGTCTGTTCTCTGTATCTGTAAATCTGTTTCTACTTTGTTTATTTTTTCTTTAGATTAAATATATAAGTGAGACTATATGTTATTTGTTTTTCTCTGGCTTAGTTTGCTTAGTCCTTAGTTCACTTACTATACTCTGTAGGTCCAGCCACTTTCCAAAAATGGTAAAATATCCTTCTTTTTAATAGTAATATTCTTCTCTTTCGTAATATTCCATTGTACAGATGCGCTATATCTTCTTTATCTATGTGTCTATTGATGGACTCTTGGGCTGCTTCCATAGCTTGGCTATTGTAAATAATGCTGCAATGAACATAGGGGTGCATATACTCTTTCAAATTAGTGTTTTGGGTTCCTTTAGATTAACCTCAGTTGTATTTTCAACTCAATAATTTCTAGTGATACTTTTATAAATGACACTTCTCTGGTTTTGAACATGTTAATCAAAATTATTTTAAATTTCATGCCTAACAATTCCATATCTGAGATTGTTTTAATTATTAAGTTCTAGGCATTGCATTTAAAAAATTATAGAAGTTCTGGTTGCTTTTTCTCAATGGCAGGATTTATAATTGCTTTTGTCTGGCAGCTAAAATGGAGCAGATCACCTTAACCCAATCAGGGATTAAGCTAATTTTAGCCTGGGGATGGCCTATTCTATTTATAGCCAATATTTTCTTTTGAAAAGTAGACTTCTGGGGCCTCAGCTGAAAGCAGGGGGCATTTACAGAACCTCCTCCCTCCTCCTTGGCAGGCCCTGTCTCCCCAGCAATCTGAGACTGCTAGAAAGCACTTCTTGGCTTCTGCAAATTCCTACTGATCATTTTCTAACTGGTGTCTCATAAAGCCAACCCTACGCTGCTTTTGAATGTGCAAAACTCTGAAGGGGAAAAGTGGTGCTGAACAATTCATTTCTTTGAGTTTTCCTGGACGCTTGACAGCCCCAAATTCCAATTTTTGTCTCCCTAGCTATGTGAAACTGCTGAAGCCTCAGCTCGGCTTCTCTCCTCCTCAACCCCCACTTTCGCTCTGCTTCTAACACTCTCCTGTGGTGCCAATTACTAATCCTCAAATCTCTTCAGGGGAAAGAAGTGCAGGATATTGGGTTTCCTCATTGTGTTTTCTCACCTTTCAGGATATTGGTCTCTCAAGTTCCATCTGCCCCGATAATTCTCTTGTTCCTTAAAACAGATGTATAAAAAAATTATCTACTTTTCATGTTGCCCTTGGGAGGAGCATTGGTCAGATTTATTGAATAAAATATTTTTCCCTACTGCTTTGGAAATTCACGCTTTCATATAGTAGTCATTAGTCTGACTACTATTATGCCTGCAATCTGCTGTTTCAATTATTGAACTTTAATTATTCATTTTACTACCTGGTGGTTCAAGTACCCCTTCAATACTCTTTGTCAATTTTATCTTGGTGTTCATATCAGAATTTCTTTGCCCACAGTGTCAGAGGTGATTATGACCAGGAAGAACGTGGTAATGGTGGTGATACAGAGCCAGAACAGAGTGAGAGATATGGAGTAGTGCCATCCATAGCACACGAGGGATTTGGAGGTTGAGATGGCATACCCCACGATGCAGCCTTCTGGCTTGGGAAACCAAGAGAATAGTAGCTAAGACTGGGGATGTAAGAGATGCAGATTTTAACAGAAAAGGAGGATCATCTGTTGAAAGAGCAGAAGCAGGAGTAGCATAGATAACTTTAAAATATGGATGACATTTTAAAATGACTTTTTTAGCTAGTTGTATAGAAAATTGACTTGTCAATATTAAAAAAAATGCAGTAATGTCCAGTTTGGATGGGATATCAAGTGAAATTTGTTGTGGCAGCAATTCTAGCAGATGTATGATTTTTAAGGAGCCGTGCACAGCAGCCTTTTCATGGATTCCACCATGTGAGTGCTGTTAGGCTTTACACAGTGCTTGCAGGCAACTAAGGAGCTTAAGCTTGGGGAGAAGGGTGCAGAAGGCAGAGTGATCAAGCTTGGGAGATCTAGGGGCAAAAAAATTACAACTGAGAAAATAGAAGCTACTCATGAAAAAACTAGTGACATGACCACATAAGTTATAGTCTTATAAAAAAAGAAACAAATTTAGACGGATTATTGCAAGTATCAAGCATGTTAATAAGAGCTGAAAAAGTTTTCAAGCTCTATATCAAAGTAGGGTAGTACTGTATTTTATTGCTTGGTCATTTATGTGAGGATATTGCAGAGCTGTGGTGAGACTTGACCCTCCCTCACTCTGGCTACGCTCTCTGCAGCCTAAAGCTAAAATGGTTTCTTGACAGGGAGCCTTGTCTAGGTGCGGCTTCTTAGCATCTTTCACTTGTATCTATACCAACAAGACTTCCTTTAGCCGCCCTTAAAGAGACTGAGAAAATATCACCCTGAACTGTATACTCTAGCTCTAAATACAAAGGATGGATTTTTTAAGATTTGTTTTTATAAGATCAGAATTGCCAAACTTTAGCCTGGAAAGAAATTGTAGAATTTACTTGACTCCTACGTGTTTTTCATTTGATAAATGTGACCAATAAAGAACAGCAAAGACCAGGCTGAAGTAACATGTAAATCAAAAGCAGAGCTAAACTTAGGAAGCCCAGGTTTGCCAATGACAGATTTAGATACTCTGACTATAGTGTGGAGAGTCATATTAACTCACTGAATTAATTTACTGTATCACTTTGCATATTGCACCCCTGCCCCACTCTCCTTTAAGATTCAGCAAAATTTTTATTGTGGAAGAATAAAAAGTGGTTTCGATCGTCTCTCTCCAGAGTATCAGATTTCTGAAAATTGCTGACACAAAGCACTTTCAGACCCAAATTTAATATAAAAGCACTGAGTATGCAAATAAGACAAAAAACCAAACTTTAGAAATGAACTAAAGAGATAAAGAATGAACGTTGTGCCTTGTTTCAGATGAGACTCCAGTCCTGCACTCCTATTCTTTTCTGGTCAATGAGCTGCTTTGCCCCCAAACTGTAGATGCACACCTGGGCCAGCAACAGTCACCGAGCTACTTATCAAATCTCACTTTTGGGGCAGTGTCTGCTCAGACATGCTCACCCCACCCCCATCCTGTTCTACTTCAGTGTCAGAAGGAAATGAAGCCACAACCAGAACAAAGAGAGCTCTGACACCTTTTGTCCCCTACCTCCTCCCTCCCTTCTCACTGCCCTCCCCGCAGAGAACTACCCCACCCGGGCTGGGCTCTAGCGTGACATCCCTGCCTGCCTGAGGGAGGAATCATGAGCAGGGCCTGCATTTACAGGCAAGTGGCACCCAGAAGCCACAAGTTTCTGTAAGTGCTGGGCCTGCACAAGACCCAAGTCAGAGCAATGGCACTGTCACTGGAAGAATTTGTCCACTCCCTTGACCTCAGGACCCTCCCTAGGGTCCTAGAAGTCCAGTCAGGTATCTACTTTGAAGGTAAGCACCCTCCTGTCTGTTAGCTGGCTAGAAGTGCTTATAAAGTGCATATACTCTTGGGAACTGGAGGAAGAAATTTTAATAGAACATATATGAGTTCTGTTAAAGGGAAGGTGATCGTAAACGAGAGAAAGTAATGATCAAGACCCAAGAGCGCTGGACAAGAGGGAAATAGGTAGGACACTCTGATGGGTAGGGGCAAGGAATTGCGTGAATCTTCTTGAGCTTCTCGTAGGCTTCCAAATAGTTCAACATGAATGGTGAATTACTTCTGCCTTTTCTTTAAAATTGGTTGTAATGCAAGAGTGAAAAGTTATCCATATTTATGGTTCTAGAATATAGAAAATAAAATTTAATTTTTATTCAACAGAAGTAATTATTAAAAGGACGGTGTTTAGAAAGACAAATCCAGCCAGCTCTTAACCAATTCCCAGCGTTGCCTCTGTCAACATTTCTTACACTCTTTCTGCAGGGGCCTAACTCCTAATTCTTTAAACAGTGATGTTCTTATTTGAAGGTATAGAAATTAATGTTTTCTAGTCACAGGATAATTTTTAAGAAGTTATGTTGAGAAGTCAGAATTTAATTTAGATTATTGATTAATAAATTAATGTGTTTTAATGTAATTTACTATGTTAATTCAGCAAAAGCATGTTAAAGTCTAGAGATTCTTTAAGCAGTTAGTTTGAATACATGCAAGGAAAAAGACATTTTCTAGGCAAATATACATTTCTGGTCATAATGGTAGAACTGACGCAGTAACAAAATTAGATACAGTAAAACTACTAGGACAGTAACTTGAAGTGTTGGTAGGCAAGACTTTCTTGTTCATAGACAAAAGAATGTTTTAGATGTTATAAAATAAAACAAAGATTGACGAATGTCAGATCCAATACACACACACACACCTGCTGGTGAAAGGTACTATCAGCTTAATATTGGGTTTTGTTTAATTCATTTGTAAATTGATTATTCGAAATCAATACATGTTTTTCTATGTATACAATGTTATGAAATGCATCTTTGTTCATAAGTCAGCCTGAAATCATTTTTTGTTTCATAGTTTGTGCTATGGAAACTTTGCATAGAAAGTCAGTTTTCATGTCCAGGTTACAAAGATGTTTTCCTATATTATTTTATATCAATTTTTCCAGTTTATATTTTGCATTCAGTTTTTAATTCATTTGGAGGACATTTTGCTCTGAGGTGCAGAGGGATCCAATTTTAGTTTTTCCATAAAGTAAACCTGACCCCCCAGTACCATTTACCTAGCTAGCCATCCTTTCGCCATTGATTTGTACTGCTGCTTTTAAGTTATATTTAAGCTTGCATATGGAACAGTCTGCCCCTAAATATCACTTATATACCATTAGTCTATTTTTTCCTTAATTATGCCAAAATCACTCTGTTTTTGTAATTAAGCCTCTGAAATGTGTTGATATGTTGTCCATATATAGATCAATCCCTGTTTTTACTCTTTTTTTCTAAGTTGACTTTAGCTATTCATAGACTTTTTGAATATGTTTTTAAAGAAATCAGTCAGTTAAGAAATTCAACTAGAATTTGTATTGGACTGTATTGATTTTATAGATTGACTTGGGAAAATTGACATTTTTATATTAAGTCTTACAAAAGAACATAGTATGTCGCTCCATGTGTTAGATTGTCTTCATCCTTTAATACTTTAACACTAAGCTGTACTTCAATTAAAGGTAAACAGTCTATACCTAGAGGAATTTTTACAAAGTAAGTACAGTTATGTAACCACCCCAATCAAGAAATAAAAAAATTACAAATAGTCTAGAAATCTCACCTTGAGCTTTTTTCCTCAATCATTATCCCTCCCCCTCCCCCAAAATAATCACTATCATGACTTTTGTTTATTTATAAACTATATGTAAATTAAAAATTATAGCATGTATCCTTTTCTAATTGGCATATACACTCAACAGCATCTTTTAAAAATTAATCAGTGATGTTTTGTATAGTTTATTCATTTCAATGTGTATAATATTCCATTGAATGAATATACACAATTTATTAATGAATTACACTGCTAATGGACATCTGAACTATTTCTAGTATGGAGTTGTTACCAGTAATGTCATCATGAACATTTTTGTACATCTATGTTCACCTGTATATACATTCAGTTAGGTATATAAATAAATGAATTGCCATATAGTATGGTATGTGTATGCTCAGCTTTGGTGAATAATGATAAACAAATTTCCCTAGTAGTTAATACTAATTTACATCCCTGCCAACAGTATATGAGAGTTCCAATTAATTTATATTCGTGGCAACATTTGATATTGTCAATAATTATAATTTTAGTTATTCTCAAGTACACTGGTTATAGTTTGCCTCTACCTGCCTGGTGACTTATAAGATTAAGAACCATTTACCGCCTTTTGGAGATGCTGTTTTATAAAAACATTGTTAATGTCTCTTGTCTATTTCTACACTGGATTTTATAAATTTCTTTTATCAATTGGAATATATATACACATAAACTACATATATACTATATTTATACATACACACACTACATATATAATATATATACATACTATATATGTATGCACACACGCATACATACTGGGATTTCTAATTCTTTGATAGTTATCTGCTGAAATATCGATCTGTCTATAGCTTAATATTTCATTTTTTAAAATGGTGTGTTTTCATGAAAGTTTCTATTTTAATGGTACTGTAATCAGTTTATAATTGCTTCCTTTTTAATGCCTTGTCAAAGAAATTTTTCTTTACCCTAAGTTCATGAAGATACACTCTGTTTTTTTAAGTTTCTAATATCTTCTTTTTTCAATTATGGTTTACATTCAGTATTATTTGTATTAGTTTCAGATACAAAGCATAGTGGTTAAACAATAATATACTGTAGAAGTCCCCCCAATATTTCCATCACCCACCTGACACCATACCTAGTTTTTACAATATTATTGACTACATACCCATGGCTATTTTGTGACTATCAGTTTGTATTTCTCAATCCCTTCACTTTTCTCACCCAGTCTCCCAAACCTCCTCCCCTCTGGCGACCATCAGTCTGGTCTAAGTATTTATGAGTCTGTTTGTAATTTGTTCTTTTATTTTGCTCTTTGGATTCCACATGTAAGTAAAATCATATGGTATTTGTCTTTCTAAGCCTGACTCAGCAAAATGCCCTCTAGGTCCAGTCATGCTGTTGTAAATGGTAAGATTTCATTCTTTTATTATGGCCGCGCGCGCGCGCGTGTGTGTGTGTGTGTGTGTGTGTGTGTATTTTTTAATCTACTTGTCTGTTGATGGGCACTTGGGTTGCTTCCATAGCTTGGTTATTATAAATAACGCTGTAATGAACATAAGGCTGCATATAGTCTTTCAAATTAGTGATTAGTATTTCTTCAAATATATACCCAGAAGTGTAATCACTGGGTCATAAGGCAGTTCCATTTTTAATTCCTTGAGGAACCTCCATACTGTTTTCCACAGTGGCTGTACCAAACCAATACGCATTCCTACCAACAGTGCATGAGGGTTTCCTTTTCTCCACATCCTCCCTAGCATTTGTTGTTTGTTGATTTATTGATGACAGCTCTTCTGAGAGGTGTGCAGTGATATCTCATTGTGGTTTTAATTTGCATTTCTCTGATGATTAGTGACATCGAGCATCTTTTCATACGTCTTTTGGCCATCTGTATGTTCTCTCTGGAGAAGTGTCTATTCAGGTCCTCTGCCCAGTTTTAATTGGGATTGTTTGATTTTCTGGTGTTGAGTTGTATGAGTTCTGTATAAATCTTGGATATTAACTCTTTATCAGATGATTCATAGGCAAGTATCTTCTCACATTCAGCAGGTTGTCTTTTGTTTTGTTGATGGTTTCCTTTGCTGCACAGAAACTTTTTAGTTTGATGTAGTCCCATTTGTTTATTGTTGAAGATGATTTCTTACATTGTCTTTTAGAGATTTTGTTTATTGTTTAGTTTCTCCTTGAGATCTACAATCTACTTAGAACTGACTTCTTTTTTGTATATGTTTTGAGATTGAGATCAATGTTTATTTGTTTCATCTAAGGAACCAATTGTTACTGTGATTTTTATGGGAAAACTGCCTTTTTCCTTTTCTCTTACTGTGTTATAGTAGCCATAAACAGTGTCCATACATATGTGGGTCCCTTCCCATGTCTTCTATTCTCTTCCATTCATATAATTGCTATACTTATACCAGTTTAACCTTGTCATCTTTAATATAAGTTTACACCAATGTAATGCATAACATATTATATGATAACATGTAGCAGAGCCGTGCTTCCCAAACTTGGTTGCACATTAGATACATCTGGATAGTATTAAAAATATAGATGCCTGGTTTCTCCTAAAAAGATAAGAATTATGTAGGAAATAAACCATTATCATGAGGTTTTTAGAAATCTCCCTGATGATAACGACATGCACCTAAATTTGAGAACTGTTAGTTCTCTACTACTATTTAACGTTCTCCCAACTTATTATTCTCTTCCAGGTTTAGCAACATGAATTTTCATATAAGTTTTAGAATTAACTTATTGACTTCCACAAAAGTCCTTTTGGCATTCTGATTAACAGTACATTGGTTTGGACAGAAACAGCATCATTTTAAATCTTCTAATTCTTGTATAGCCTTTTGGTTATATAGATTTCTTTTCATTTTGTAATTTTTTTGGAGCTCTTACACTTATTTTTCAGATTAATTCTTAAATATTTGTTTTTTCAAATTTTATTTTAAATGGTATCTCTGATTCTTTCACTTTCTTTTGGTTGTGTTTGTTAAATTACAAGAATATATCTTTAGGTTATTTTGAATTTGTTTTGTATACATTTATGTTTTCTGTGAATATTGGTAGATATTTTTATTTTTGATTATTGTACTTTTTGCTTTTCTTCAAAGAACTGGCTAGTGCTTCTAATATAATTTTGAGTAAGAGTAATGATAATAGACTTTCTATTCTAATTTAAAAC